AATAGTTTCCCTGGTGTGAATATTCTGCAACAATGCATAAGATTCTAATAAGATTACTGACATTTAGAAATGGGAGGAAAGGAGCTAAAGGTGTAGGGAAGGTGTGATACGTAGGGGAAGAACAAAAAGGGAAAAAAAAAAAAATGTGAGAGAATGAAAAGATGAAAATAAAGTGTTTGTAGATGGGGAGGGGAGGAGGGGGTGAAGGGAGGGCAGAGGTAAGGGGAAAAAAATGAGAATCAAGACTTGCCATATAAAGGTACATGATCCCAACAATGAATGTAACTGTACTGTATCCCTAAATGTACCAATAAACTCAATAAAAAAAAAAAATAAAAAAAAAAATTGAAAACTACTTGTATTATGTTATGAAGATACATCTCAAGTGGGATAATTTGTTTCATATGCCATGGCAAACGTGTAAACTTTGTTTCCATTTTTTCATTTTCTCATATTTTTCTCTTGTTTCTTTCCCCTACCATTCCCACTTCCCCTACACCTTTAGCCCTTTTCTTCCTATTTCACGTTGTCAATTATCCAATTTGTATCTTATTTACACTTGTAGTTTTTCACACCAGAGAAACTATTAGGTTTTTACAAATGTGTGTCTTGTTTATTTCACAGTTTTTTGAGGTATCTCCATATTGATTTCCACAGTGGTTGCACCAGTATGCACTCCCCCCAACTATGAAGAAGGGTTCCTTTCTCTCCACAAACCAGCTAGCGTTTGTTATTGGTTGATTTCTTATTATTGGTTGATTTCTTTTGGAGTGAGGTGGAATCTTAGTGTTGTTTTCATCTGCATCTCTGAAATGAGCAGTGATGCTGAACATTTATTTCATGTTTACTTGCTGCTTTTACTTCTTTGAAAAATGTCTGCTCATTTCAGATTCCTATTTTTGAATTGTATCTTTAAACTTGGGGTGTCTGATTTTTTTTAAGTTATTTATATATTCTAAATAGTAGTCGTCTGTCTGAGATAGGGCTGCTAACAATATTTTCCCACATTGTAGATTGTCTCTTAGCTCTGTTGGTGGTTTCTCTTGCAGTGAAAAACATTGATGGCATTCCAATTGTTGTTTTTTGTGCTAGTTTCTGTGCTACTGAGGTTTTGTTCATAAAGTCTCTTCCTATGCCAATAAATTCAAGAGTTCTACCTATCTTCCAGTAAGTTTATCATTTCTGTTTTAACATTTAGATCTTTAATCCACTTGGATTTTAGATTTTAATTTAGTTAATGGTGATAGATATGTGTCTAGTTTTAATCTTTGGGCAGATTGAAATCTGGTTTTTCCAACACTATTTATCAAATAGGTTGTCTTTCCTCCAGTAAGGATGGTTGGCTCCTTTGTCAAACATGTGGTGGCTGGGCATATCTGGAGTTGTTTCTACATCTTCTAATCTATTCCATTGATCCTCAGGTCTCTGCCTTTGCCAGGACCATGCTCTTTTTATTACAGTGCTTTTGTAGTATAGTTTCAAGTTGGGGATTGTAATACCACCTATCATGTTCCTGTTGCCTAGAATTGCTTTTGCTATTCTAGATCTCTTCTTGTTCCAAATGAGTTTTTTATTGTTTTATCTAGTTCTGTGAAATATACTGTTGGGATTTCTATTTGGATTGCATTAAATCTATATAGCAGTTTTGGTAATATGGACGTTTTTACTATATTGGTTCTCCCTACACAGGAACAAGGGCTATCTTTCCATTTTCTTACATTCTGTTTGATCTCTTTTTTCAGACTGGTGTTATTTTTTATATATAGGTCTTCTGCTTCCTTTGCTAGTTTGATTCCTAGATATTTCATTTTGGGAGTGCTATTGTGAAAGGAATCATTTCCTTAATTTTTCTCTCAGTGAGTCTATTGCTTGTGTACAGGAAGGCTATTGGTTTTTGAGTGTTGACCTTGTGTCAAGCTACTCTGCTGAATCTGGCAATTAAATCTAGATGTCTTTTAGCAGAGTTTTTTGGGTCTTCTAAGTAGAGTATCATATCATCAGCAAATAATGACATTTTAACTTCTTCCTTTTCTATTTTTATTCCTTTATTGCTTTCTTTTGTCTAATTGCTGCAGCTAATGCTTCCAGAACTATACTAAACTGGAGTGCAAACCATATATCTTAACCATCACAAAATAAATAATATGCAAATATTTTCTGGTAGGATTCTGCTTGATTGTTTGATGTAACTGATGTAAATGGAAAAAAACACAAAATACAATTAAAATTTGGCAAAATGAGAAGAGGAACAATTATTGCTTTTCCACCTGACATACCCAATTCACTTTGAACCACATTTCTAGGTATTGCTAGAGAATAAGTGAGATATTTTAGAATATTCAGTCAGGAGTTTCTGAGTTCCTCCTCTCAAGAGTAAGCATTGAGCTTGGGATAGATATTTTAACTGAGAGCCAACAAAGGGAAAGGAATGTTTGAAGATTGTATTTTCCAAAGTCATGAGGCTCAATATACCTACATTCTTAGAAAAAAAAAAACAAGCACACATACACACACACACACACACACACACTTGTCAACAAGCACAGAGTACTTTTATAATACTGTCATTACAGATACATGTATAAACTTTACAGTTATGAAGATGACAGAATCTCTTTTATTTGGAGCACAGTATGAGGGAGGAGTTCTTTGCAGACTAGGTATCCCCCAGTGTGGCACTATATACCGATGAATTCAATGTCGTCGTACCCAAGGTCTTGTCTCGGGACCAGTGAAGATCCCTCCTCTTCCAGGTTGGAGTAGGCAACTTCTGTTGGAGATTGAGGTGAGATGCCTGTCACAGTAAAGAGAGTCCTTATTTCTGTGATGACAAGAAGTTAGTAGTACTCTTGGAGAAGAAAAAACATGACTTCAGCGACTACAAAATATTGCAAGGTCACAGAGCTACTCTGAACAGTGAGTGGAGATAACTTATACTGACTGCTCTGTTCAAAGCACTGTGTTGATGCCAACAATGACAAAGGAGATGGTTCAATAATGACAAGGAAGGAGAAAGAGGGAGGAAATCCTCAGAAATGGCTGGTCTTATATCCTAAGAAATGGAGACAGGAGATGTCAACTAGATTTGCTTTGTAACTCGTCACAGAGCACACATGACCTCAGAGTGTTCATGAATCCTCCCTTGGCCCCAAAACATGGCAGATCAGCCAAATCCCAGTTTCTTGGTCACCATGGACCACACGTCCCTAGACGAACAGAAAACCTAGTCCTTGGCAATGAGGTCATCTGTCAGCTGAAACAAGGAGAAGAAATTCTCTTTTCTTCCTCCTACTGATAAAAATTTGCCACTTGTTATATGACCACTGCCTGTTGTCCAATAATAGTGGAAAATGTCAACTTTGAACATTTGGTTACAGAAAATTTTATAGTTTATAAATGAAATTTGTCTTACTATTCTACATGTTTATAGGTTATGCTTAACAGTTACAAAGAGCACTACATATATCATCAGGTCACGTGTGTTGGTATGGGTGTGAAGAATGGCAACAAAGCCACAAAATCTGAAGCTCACCCACATGTCGATGTACAAGGGGCAGTAGGTATGAACACAGAGAAAAAATATGTTCCTTCCTTCTCTCAGAAGAGCTGGGATAGTTAAAATAAACTTTTAACAGGGAAAAGTTGACATTGTCTAATGTACAAGGTTACACAGATTCTTTTTTTTTTTCTTTCTTTCTTTTTTTTTGTACCAGGGATCAAACTCCGGTCCTTACACTTGCAAGGCAGGCCACCGAACCACTGAGCTAAATCCCCGGCCCCTCATAGATTCTTATAGTAAAGAAAAATTGGTGTCTGATTGTCTAAACTCAGGTTTTCCATAACAGAGAAGTTGCATGATGGGAGACAGAGCTGTCCACTCACTTGTCTGAGAATCCCTGGCACCACCTCCATCTTCTGGGAAAATGTCCTTCTCAGTCCTCTCAGGAGAGGAAGGAAGTTTAGAATCAGTTAACTCTTCAACATCATCATAGCCATTTTCTGTGACATCAACATGCTGTGCTGGAGGTTCTGAAAACAGTGAATAAGATGGAAGATAAGGCAATGTAAATCTCTCTTAATGCACAAATTCTAACAAATGATGAACACAGGCACCATATTCCAAGGTGGCCCCAAAGCAGATATGTGATCTTAATATTCTTTGAAACCATTTAAATCCCTAAAATATTTCAAATATATTAACATAAATAGTATTCTATTAAAAATCCTCCATTATCAACTTTGTGCTCTGACTTCCAGGTACTATGTTGTGGTTATAATTCAGATTGCAATGTGGAATGTGTATACATTAGGGACCAAGGGAGGTGAATCCAGAACAAGAGAATCCATTTACTTTCCGAGGCAGTAAGGTATACAGAGTTGTGAGGGAGAGGGAGGCCTTGGTTTCTGTAACACAGGGGTAGGTGATCTCACCACTCCCAATCAGGAGACCTGGTGCCAACACCTACTACTGCTGTGCTGACCTCTGGGTCTCATCTCCATGGAGCCCTGCTTTCGTGTGTCCTGTCCCAAGAGTCATGAATTTTCACCACTTGGGAAAGGTCCAAGAAGGACAAATTCCCCTCTGGTCTTCTGGAGAGAAGAGTTCAGGGTAAGAATAGTAAGAGTAAGGTACTCCACACTCCATGTATTTTAGTCATTATTGAAATTACCTTTTAAAAATCTCTCAATATTAATATAAATCATGAGTGTCTTCTTTATCACACTACCTCAGAATGAAAATCCTACTCCCAATTGCTCTTTCTCATCATGGAGGTTTTTACATTACAAATGTCATATTTTTTAAAAATGGCTTTTGAATTTATTGTAGCATATTGCCATATATCTGTGACTCTGTAGAAGTAGCTGTGAATGCCAAGAATATTGAGCATGACTATTCCTATCCTGAAATTATTATTGTGAGAAGACCAAAAAATACATTATTGTGCACTGGAGAGTAGTAACCAACCCCATTCTAATCACAGGACAGCATTCTCTTCAGATGAGACTCCTTCTCACATAAGCAATAAAACGAAGACTTGTCTCTACTACCTGGGGCAGACACGGGATCTCCAGTCTCCTCACTGCCCTCTGTGGAATAGGGGAGTTTAGTCACTGAGTCCTCAGACAGATTTCCTGATAGGGAGAAAAACATCAGACATAGAGACAGAAGAGGCCCAATGTTATGCTCCTGAGAAATTTTGATGCTGTAGACTTGTAGAGTGAAGGCCGAGTGTTTCGACCTTATGAAGAGGCAAACCATATAAGTTAAATTACATCTTCAAATTGTGAAGCTTTTGTACATAAAGAGAGGAAGAGGGGTTTAAGGTGGGGAGGGCATGAGAAATAAGAAGAATCAAGATATATCAAGGTACAAATTAAGATATAATCAGGGTAAAAAATCCATGCAATGAATGTTATCAATATGTAAATCTAAAATGTACCAATACAATTAATTTAAAAAAAAACAAATTGTAGTTGCCAAAGACACCCAACCACTGCCAGTTCATGAACACAGAAGAAAGTATGACACACACCTGGGTTGTCAAATGGGTCCTCCTTCTGTGGTCACACAAGATAATCTATCTCCTCATAAAAGGCCTCATCCAGAGGATCTTCAAAAGTGGATAAGGCTGGAGAAAACAAGAAGAGTTCAGAGATTGCTCCTGGAGGCATTTCCTTACCAAAAGACAAAATCTTCTGTGTCCCCCACACTTGGCTTTGGGGCCACCCCTCTGGGCTTCCGGGTCCCTGTCTTCGTATTGTGCTCTTTGGGGACAGAAGTAGGTTTCCTGACACTACCTGCATCCTACATTCAGTCAAATTCTCACTGTCTACATGCGAAAAAGTAATTTTTAAAGCTCCCACATTCATGATGAAGTCTTTTAAATTTTGAAATGTCAGCAGAGGAGACAGGTTTTTGTTGTTGTTTCTTTCTTTCTTCTCTCTCTCTCTTTTTTTGGGGGGGTATATATGCTGCCAAAATGAGCACAGGAAACAAGTTTTTGAGATAATGAAAATGAAGACCAATTGAATACTACCTAAGAAGTCACACCTTGTCTGATGTTTTCCTTTAAGATTTATATCTAAAATGTCCCCTAAAAGACTGATATTCTGAGATGGGGCCTGCTCAGGAGGGGTGCTTCACTGAGGGTGTGACTTGAAAAAATATATTCTTGTCCTTCTCTCCTTCCCTATGTCTCATTCCTAGCCACCATCATGCCATTCTGCCATAGCATTTTTACCTTGGAGCCAGTAGACCATGGACTAAACCCACTGCAACTGTGAGTTAAAAGAAACCTCTTCCCATTTGAATTGGAGGTGTTGGGTCATTCTGTTCCAGGAATGGAAAAGTGGCAAGCACAGAAAATTGGTAAGCCCAGTACAGACATTTCTGTCACTGTACCTGACTGCATGTTTCAGAAGCCTTTGAAACTGGTTTCCTTGAGAAATTTGGAAAAGTTTTGAGATGCCAGGTAGGGAAGCATAGGCAGAGATTTATGGGAGATTCTGTTCAGAGTTCAGAAGACCAGAATGCTGTCAGGAACATGGACAAAGTAGAAGTAAAGGAAGTTTCAGTTGGCAACAAGAAGACCATTTACAGGGACACTAGAGTACATGTGTGTTGTACCCTGGCAGAAAATTGGTCTTCATTTTGTCCATGTCCTAAGACTTCACGGGAGACTGAGATTATGGGTGTTGAACTCACTAATCTGGCAGAGGAAGCTAGTATTAGGAAGTATTAGTAGCTAGTATTAGAAGCTAGTATTAAGGAAGCTAATATTTAGGATGTGGCATGGGTTCTGTTGGCTGCTTTTAACCAGATTTACAGTTAGAATTAGAATCAGAAAAAGGATCAGCATAGTGATCAGAAAAATTCACAGCTTGGCTAGAAAGGAAGCTCCTGTATAGCTGGGGCCAAAGAAAATGATGGTTGCTGAGAATATTATCATTAATCATGTTTGCATCAGGACAAAAGCAAAGATGGCTTGAGGGCATCTCAGTAAACACCAAGACCCCACCTATCTCAGGTCCAAACTGTAAAACTTTTCTTTGAGAAAAAGTCCCTGGCGTTCCTGTTCAAGAAGGGCCTTCTACAGAAATGCTTCTCTAGGATTTGTTTCATTTTGCCCAGCCATCTAGGCAATCAGCTCTCACTTATGCCATGGTCTGTGGGTACAGCATTACTTCTCAATCCAGTGGCAGACCTTGGTGTAATCCATACTTGTATTAGTTTTAAAGGCACACAGGATGCTATAGTTAGGGGATCATGGAGATTTTCATCCAGATTTCAAAGGAAGCTCTGGGATGCAAGTCAAGGAACGCTAAAGAGAGCAATGGCTGGGAATTTAGCTCAGTAGTTCTGAAATGTACCGGTACAATCAATTTTTTAAAAAAAAACAAATTGTAGTTGCTAAAGACACCCAACCAGTGCCAGCTCAACCAGTGCCTGTCTTCTCTGAAGAGAGAAATGTGTGAAGCTATGAGAATGAAGCCAAAAGTACAATGGAGACCTCAGAAAGTTGGAGATGCCAGAAACAGGAAACATAGGCAGAGGAAAACCATAGGCAGTAAATATAGCCAACCCGAGAGAGAGACCACATGGCCTACACCCATAGGGCCTGGGCTGTCCAAGCCCTTGGATTTCTCATCTTGCCAGAAGTTGTCCCAGGTATGGAACATGGAACTTCTGGTTTTAATGTCAGCCCTGATCAGTTACATTCTCTCTTTGTTTCATTCCTTTATATCCCCATTTTAAAATGGACATATTGACTCTGTGCCAAGTGTTTTACAAGTATTTAACTTTATTTTTAGTTTTCACAGAAGCTCAAAGCTAAAAGTTGCCTGGAGTCTCAGAGGAGATTTTTTACTTATACTTGTCAAAAATGCTGAAACTGTTAAGACACTGGTGACTCTCATAAATGTACTGAATTCATTTTGTATAACAAGATGGACATGAGGCTTCTGGGGGCCATGGGTTGAATGTCATGGCTTAGATTTAAAAATACCCCTCAAAACCCTCCTGTGTTTGCATCATGGGGCACTGTATTCATGGATGGATTAATCCATTGATGAGTTCATAGGTGGAGGGGCTGTTAGAAAGTGGGTCCTGGATGGAAGGGGCAGGAGGCTTGCCTTGGCAGGGCAGATCTCCCCCACCATTGTGGCCACTGTTCAGCACACAGCTTTCCTTTGCCATGACTTTCTGCCATGCAGTTTCTCTTAGAGCCAGCACTGAAACTATGAACTGAAATAATCCTCTTCTCCCCTAAAGTTGTGGGCACCAGATATGTTTTCCCCAGTGTTGGGAAAATGACTAACACATTCTCCCCCGATAAATTCCGGATTGCCAATATCCTGAAGCCTCACCTCGGAGCTCTGCTCTCCATCTGTGCAGCTGAGTCCCCAGGATGATGAGGACCAGGAAGAGGAGGGCTCCCAGGATGATGCAGAGGATCCCAGGTAAAGAAAAAATGCCAGGAACAGGAGCTGAGACTGTGCTGGTGCCTGTGGAGGAAGAGGCTGTGAGTCTTTAGAGAAGGACAAAAGTCTATCTTCCAGCATGCGGATCTCTCTAAAGTGAATCCTTGTCAGCCTTGGAATCCTTGCAGCTGCTACAGTGGAATGAAATGTTATGGTTACTTAAAAAGCCTGATCATCTGGCCTACCCAGATGCAGAAATATCTAAATTCCACAGTGCAGATGCATGAAAATCTAAACGTCTCTATGAGCCAGCTCATGGCAGAAGAATACTTACTTCTAGGGAGGGGAGGAACTGTTGCCCTTTCACCTGGAGAGAAAAGAAGAAAAGCGCAATCACTGCACTGTGTTAGCTGGACAGTCAAGCCATCACTGCACGGGTTCTCTTCCAGATGTCCGGAGCTCAGAGCACATTCTCTGCAGAGCCAGAGATCAGGGCAGAGGGTCGCCTAGGAAACCCTCGGACACACGCCACTCACCTGAGCACCTCACGCCCGCGTCCTCCTCATGCTTGCAGTCGCTCTGTCCCCAGGGCGCCCTGGCACAGTCCCACAGCGAGGACTCCCCGGCCCTGCACCACACCTCATCCAGCCAGATGCTTCCATTTCCGGGGCCAAACGCAGCCTTTCCCGGGGCATCCAGGGCAGGGCCACAGCCCAGCTGCCGACACACCACCTCAGCCTCCGCCAGGCCCCAGGAGTCATCGCACACCGTGCCCCAGGAGCCTTCGTGCCACACCTCCACGCGGCCTGAGCACGCGCTGTCTCCTCCCCTGAGTCGCAGCTTCTCTCTGTCTGGAAAGGCAGCAGCACCTCCTCTCACTGCCCTGGTGGAGGGAAGGAGCCCCTGGGAGCCATGGGGAGGTTGGGAGGACTGAGGTACCTGTGCAGGGGGCAGAATCCGGGCAGCTCTTGGGTCTGGTTCCTGCGGAGACAGTGGGAGCACTGCGTCAGGAGTGGCTGGAGCTGGTCCTCCCCAAAACAAAGATCTCTACACCCTGAGTTCAGTCCAGACAACAGTGGTAGACAGTGGCCTTTAAAGTTAGCAGTTCCTTTAGTTGAATTTTGAAATTAGCTTTTCATTTCAATGTGTAACACTCTCCACATTGCCACACCAAACACAAACACGAACATGCACAGATACACACACCAAAGGTCAGGTCCCACTAGAGGAAGCTCCTGACACCTCTCATTTCCTGTGTGGCCTGTGTCAGTGGGCAGCACAGCGGTCTGCATCACCAGTCAGGAAGGGCAGGGAACCTTCTGTGCATGATATGAAAGGGGCTTAAACATCTATTGAATGAATGAACAGATGTGTCAGTTCTGCTAAATTTAATTCATCTCACTTCTTGATGATCAGAAAAAAAAAAAAAGGAATAGAAATTAATGGCATTGACTTGTAGTGATAAATACCCAGCATTAAAATAAAATTTGTACACAAAAGTGATATGTATTCAAAATTTCCTTTAAAATTTTTTTCATTAAGATGTAATGGATATTATAAAAGCTACAAAGGAGATAAAACTGAGCAAGGTCTCTCTGTGTGTGTATGAGAGAGAGGGAGAGAGGGAGAGTCAAGAGGAACAAAAAAAGTTGAAAGCAGTGAGAGACCCATGAAAAGACAAAACAAGGAAAGATGAAAGGAAGGGAAGAAGAATGAGCACTTGGTTTTTCATATTACATTTTTTTCTCATTGAGTTTATGGCTGCTTTCTAAGCATACAGTACAGTTACAGTGAGCACTTGGTTTTTTTATATCCTGCATGTGTACTTGCTTTAATCTAATGGACACAGTGTAAGCAAAAAATCTCAGTCATTTCTATACAGGTATGAAAATGTAAAATGGAAATTATTGGTTTTGAATTGTTAAGTAAAAAAAAGCTAACATAGCAATAATATGTATGCATAATGCCAATGTTGTGAAATGAAAATATGCCATCAAAGTCTACCTATTCATGGATAAATTAATTTTGAGATATTTCTCTAAAATCAATAATTATATATAACCTAGGTTAATATTAATGGACAAGAGGGAGTGTGATGCAATGGATTTTTCTTTTTACATTTTTATATAACTTTCTTACAGTGAGTGAATCATACTTTTGTAATTTAAGTGAAATAGGGAATGGTTTCTGTCTGAATCTTAAATGACTGCTGTAAAAAACATAAATTCCCTACACTCAAGCATGAACAAATCCAGCATCATCATGTGTGGCCAATTCAGAGAGAGAGAAAGGCAGGGTATAAGGGAAGGTGGGCTGGCCACCCCTCCCTGCCTCCAGTGCTCCGGAGATCATCGGGGCAGAAGCTGAGCTAAGGAGGAGTGGAAAGCGCAAGGTGCAGCCCTCAGCGTGGCTCAGTCTAGCAGCTGATCAGGGAGAGAAGTTCCAACCCAGGCAGACAGAATGAGAAGAGCAATCGGCAAGGTGGAGGGGTCACCAGGAATAATGTAAAACAGAGAGTTGTTGAACGGTGTCAAGAAGTCAAGAGGAAGTAGAAGATAATTGCTGTTATGTTTCTATTTTCTTACTGATTCTGAGGAGTATGAAAATCTAAGGTTTAATTAAAGTAAGTTCAGCATTGCCACAGTCACATAAGGTGAAGACAGTGACTCCTGACCATTCTTTTTGGAGGTTTTGGAGGTGATGAGGAGAGAAAAGTGTTGAGCAACTTTCCCCCTCACCCTCTTTCTGCTCTGACCATGACGGGATTTTCTCAACACCTCAGCGGTCCCATGCTCCTCCCACCTCTGTATTCACATTGCTCAAAGTGTTCATCAGAATATTATTAGATCATACTTCGTATGCTCAATTCAGTCTCTCTGAGATTATTCACATGAATTGCTGTCAGCAGAACTCTATTTCTGCTGTTGAAATAAAAAATAAACATGGATTAAATAATCTAAAACTCAAAAAGTCATTTGGTAGACATATTGAAATCCAGCCCTTACATATGAAATCATGAAATTTCCCTAAATGACGACCTACACGGCTGGGAGAGATGCATATAACTAGACATTAGGTCACCTGTACATGTGATAAAAGCTGCATCCCTTGGTCGGCAAGATCTGGGATTCCAAGCTTCAGAAGGACACTGCCAGAGGGAGGTATCCGTTTTCCTACACTGGATTCCATCCACCCACAGGGGTCTAGAACTTTCCCTGGCAGCAACAGCAGAGTTGAGGGTCCCACTGCCCCCACAGCCAAGCTGTCTGCAGATCACGGACAAGGTCATGTCTTCCATAGGTGTACGGCAGACACTGCCCCACGTCCCATTGTAGAAAATCTCCAGCCACCCAGAGCACTCCTGGTCCTCGCTCACCATCCTGAGAGCCATGAACTCTGAAACAGAACCAGGCACAGAAATCAGTCAACGTTTAGTGCTCTTTTACTTTACAAGGAGGAAAACTCATTGTTGGCCGTGCTGAGGAAGTGACCTCTACATGGAGAGAAGGGAGCTTTACCTTTTTCCTGCTTTGCAATCTTGACCCTGTCACGGTATTTCTACCACGGTGAGGTAAAGAAAAAGGACAGGCAGGGGATTCTGACCTGAGGGCTCTGCAGGGAGCAAAGGCTGATTGCTGCTTCCTGAATAAACATCTGAAAAGAGTGTGTGAAGGCAATGTGTGTAGTAGAGAAGTGAATATGTTCACCTCCTGTACCTTAGAGCCTACAAATGCGTTCCCTCACTTGGCAAAGGGGCTTTGCAGATCGGATTAAACAAGGGCTTTCAGTAAGTGAGATTATCCTGGGTTTTCTGGATTAACTCGGTGAGCCCAATTCCATAACATCCTTATACTGTAGCCTAATGGCAGATAACATATTTATGACCTTGGTCACATGAAGATATTAATGTACAAAATTGGTCAGAGAGTTGTAATGCATTTGGTTTGAAGGAGCCAAGGCAGGCAGGCAGTTTCTAGAAGCTAGAAGAGGCAAGGATATGGGACTCCCCTGAGCATCTGAGTAATGGAGCCCTCCTGACACCTTGTTTTCAGCTCAGCCAGATGTGGCTCAGCCTTCTACTTACACAACTGTAAGGTAATAGGTTATGTAGTTTGAGGCCACTAACTCTGGTAATTCATTACAGCAACAATGGAAGCCAGTACAGTGGACCTCAGGGTTTGTGCACACAGGGATCTGACAAACACTGTAGGAAGCGACTGTCAGGTGAGAGAGCTGAGAAGGAAGAACAGACGCTCACCTGCCGCAGGAGGAAGTGAGAGCACCTCATCTTCCCCTCTGCTAGACACATAGACCCTGGGGAAGGAGCCTGCCCACCTCTGCCCCACTCAGCTACTGTCCACCTCTCATCTTGCGGTCAGAGGCCATCCTGGAGACCCTCCTTCCTGTGACAGTGTGAGCACAGACCTGAACAGATGACCCCCGCATCCTCCTTGTGCCTGCAGTCGTGCTGTCCCCAGCCCCGGGAAGGGCACTTCCACACGTGGGACTCCTCTCCTGTGCAGTTCAGCTCATCCAGCCAGACAGGCCCCAATCCCTGCCCAAAATGAGCAGAGGCCATGGCGTTGAAGGCCACGCCACAGCCCAGCTGTCTGCACACCACGTGGGCATCACGCAGGTCCCAGCTGTCGTCACAGATGGTGCCCCAGGAGCCCTGGTGTAGGATCTCCACTCTGCCTGCACAGCGACCGCCCCCGTCCACCAGGCGCAGCTGTCTGCTGTCTGAGGAGAGACAGAGTCAGGTCAGTGAGGCCAACGCAGCGGAGAGCAGGTTCTGCCCTGGGGACGTCCTCACCTGAGCAGTGGGCAGCTTGCACCTCTGAGGCTGCGGAGCCTGCTGGGTCAGACAGGGCGTCATCGCACTGGGGCAGCAGCTGGGTCTGGTTTCCTGCCAAGAGGGTGAGAATGGGAGAGAACCTGAGTTACACGAAGTACAGTTTAGAGATGGTGGATGGGATAGAAACTGAAACGGGAGTAAGATTTCCTATCTTTAGTGCTCAACTTCTGTATGGAGATATTTACTGTCGAGTAGACCAGACTTATTTGTTTGAAGTTCAATGCTAAGAATGAGTAGGAAAGCAGAAATATATCAACACTACATGAAATCACTGAAGAGTTCCCAGGCCAACTAAACTTTTTGGTTGCCAAAACGTCACGGGGATGTAAAGGACCACATGAGCCATCTTCTTGAGAAATCTATTCATTCACAGGTAATTGCTCAGACACAGAAAACCTCAACAGAGTATTTGACAGATTCACGGCTCCAGGGGACCAAGTATAATGTAAGGCTGACCAAGAGGAAGAACCAAAAATGTTGGTTAAACAACCAAATATGTTAAACATGTTAATATATGCTAAACAAATATGTTGTATCACAGAAGAAAGGGTGAATTAAAAGTAGACTATTCTTCTTTTTTCCTCATTGAGCTTATTGGTACATTTTAGGTACACAATACAGTTACATTCATCATTGTGATCTTGTACCTTTACATGACAGGTCTTGGTTCTCACTTTTTCCTCTTGTACATGCCCTCCTTTCATCCCCTCCTCCCTTCCCTATTTTATTTTGTACTCACTTCGGCAGCGTAAAATAAAAAAATTTATTTCCATTTTTTTCATTTTCTCATATTTTTTACCTTATTTCCTTTCCCCTACCCTTCTCACTTCCCCTACACCTTTAGCCCTTTTCTTCCTATTTCACATTGTATATTTAAAAAGTAAACTATTCTTCACAGGCATGGATATTCAGTTTCTGACCACTTCATCCTTTTTTGAATAAGGTGATTTACTCTTAAAGTTCATAGTTTATCAAACAAAAATTAAACCTTTTATGAAGTATTTCTGTCATCTAACATACTTGTCAATCAAAAATACTCATATTGAATATTTCAGTAGAAAACCAAGATTTAAAAAAAATATTTTTGACATACTATCCAGCTACTGCAGTTACCTCACAGAGAGTTTAAATAGCTGTGGTTCAAATGCCAAATACTCACAATGAATGTAAACATTGTATATCATAAACTGAGCTCAGAATAATAATAACAAAAAGAATGAAAATGGGTAAAGGGGACATAGAGGTGGAGGGATGGAGGTGGCTGGAAAGAGTAAGGGGATTAAGAAAGAAGCAAGCTGTGTTATGTACAGGTACCTCCTCCCCAAGATGTATATATTCTTCATGTACTGCAAACATGTACTAATAAAATTAAACTAAAATAAATACTATGTTAGGAAAATGGAATGATATGGTGTGTATCTCAGATAAATCATAACAAAAATTCAATAAGGTTTAACAACAAATAAACAGACAAAATTAACTTGAAGTCTGAATCTAAGAACAAAGTAGATAGCAAGATAGAAACAGTATAATGAAAGAAGGCAGGAAATACAGAAAACCAGAAGAAGAGCAAAAGGGAAATATCAGAATGATGAGAAGACCTAAAATTCCTATGTAATTGTTCAGTGTTCAGTGTCACAATTGGCAAAGTAAAAGTAGAAAGTGGAAAATACACAATGTGGGATGTTCAATGCATCTATGGTTTTAATCACACACAGATAATCTGTGATACTGCATCCTTTGATAAGTGGGGTTTGTTGCTCCTCCTTTGACTCTGGGCTGACCTTGGAGAGCTGCTTATGAGCAAAACCATGAAGTGGAGCCATTTTTATTGTAGCACAGCTCATAACAGCTGAGGTATGGGATCAACATAGGCTCTCAACAGGGAAATGAATACAAATTTGATTTTATAAATATATATGCTATAAAGATTAATAAAATCCTGTCATTTAAGCAAAATGCATGGAACTAAAGTTCTTTGTCATAAAAAACTGAGAATACATTGACTTGAATGTGTCTGCCTCTATTTGCTACAGGAGGAAATAGTACTCAGAGCACTAGACATGTCCAGTTTGGTATTAATAACCCGTGTTATGCAACAACTTAAGGGAGACCAGTACTGTTATTAATTTTGCTAATATTATCTTTTAAATTTCTACTTTGGAAAGAAGTCAAAGCTGAATTGCATTTGTGTAGGACAGACTCAAATATCACCTAATTGTGCTATCATAATACGCAACTTTTCATTTATTGCCAAAATCCAAGCTGAGGACATTCTGGGCAATAATAGGCCTATAGCCTTCAAAATAACAATGTCTTCAGACACAAAGAGAATTTCATGTGTTCCATCCACATTAAACAACGCTAATGATAGATAATAAAATTAAACACATCTGCTCAAATTACTTACAGTGCACAACATACTTGGGGAAATAGCTAAATTCTGGTTAAGGCTTAATCTAAATAACTACTTTATCACAAGATTAAGTTGTGTAATTTGGCAACTGTACATAACGAAAATCTTTAAGGTATTTTAGGGGTAAATTGACATCATGTCAGCCGCATTGATTTAATTGGTCATTCAGGAAGTTTGTACATATTTAGTGAGAAATGGAGCAGGCAAAGGGTCACAATACAGCAAAATATCAATATTGGAGAATCTGAGGAGACATATTATTCTTGCCACTTGTCTATAATTATGAACTTATGTAAAAGATATTTTAAAATCCCACCAAATTAGAAAGTCTACAACAAGTTGGAAAATCCATTACTAGGAGGTTTCACTGAGCAATACTAATAGTATCAAAATTTTTAAACAGAAGAAAATCCAATAAAGGTGTTTAAAACCTCTGAGATAAATTAAAGACATAAATAAATTGAGGGCTATGACTTGCAAATGAACGTGGAGACTCAATATTCTTATTCAATTATCTCCAAATTCATATGATGGTGAAATTTGATCTCATTTAACATACCAATGCTTTTTTGAAGTAATTACGACAAAGTGATTGTGGATTTTATATAGACCAAGAATGACCAGCACATTTGACCAAAAAAGAAGAAAAATCAATAAGTAATATTAAGGTGATTCTTTCTGATTGAATGAACATACCATAAAGTTACAATAATTAAGAAGGTATGGTACTAGTAAAAGACAAATGACAGATTGTAATAGAACAGTGTAGAAACAGAATGGAAGACATCTGCAGTGTTTTTTACAAATGATTTCTTTGAATATTCTTTGCCTTGACGTGAATGCTTACTAATAAATGAGAAGGTTGTGGCACTACAAAGTTTTGAAGTCAGTTCTCCTTGTTTTCTGCTCTCACAGGCATGGGAATCCAGGACCCTGAGCCCCGCCCTCTGAGTGCTCTCACCTGAGCAGACCACCACGGCCGCGTTCCCAGGGGTGCAGGCAGGGACGCCCAGGGCGCTCACAGGACAGTTCCACAGGAAGGACTCTGTCCCCGAGCAGTGGAATCGGTCTGGCCAGATCTCACCTCCTCCTCCTCTGGCAGAGTGCGCTCCTTTTGGGGTGGGGAGGGCGATCCCGCAGCCCACCTGGCGGCACACGACTTGGGAATTTGCCGCGCTCCAGTGGGAGGCACAGAGCATTCTCCAGTTCTCAAATTTGCGCATCTCCACCTGCCCTGCACACGGAGAGGGGCCGCTGCTCCTGAGCCGGACTTCGGTGAGCTCTGAGGTGAGAGGACGGGGTCAGAAAGGTGTTCTTACCATGCCATGTGCAGAGGGAGAGGGGCTGCTGAGTCTCACCTGAGCAGACGACCTGAACTGTCCCTGTGTGGCCGCAGCTGCCCCCAGGACAGGGTGTTCTGGGGCACAACCAGAGCTCGGGCTCCTGCCCCTCACACCGGAACTCTTCAGCCCACATCTGTCCAGCATCCACTCTGAAGGACAGGTCCTCCCGGACAGACACAGCCTTGCCACACCCCAGCTCTGCACAGATGACCTGGGCGGTGGACAACGTGAAATTTGCAGCGGACACTGGAGTCCACCCTCCCCCAGGGTTCACTTCCACTCGGCCTGAGCAGGGCCCGACTCCTGCAGCCAGACGCAAAAATCCTAAGGGAAGGAAAACAAAACATGTATACAAAATGACAAAACAAATATGCATTTTCTTTTCAAGTTTAGAAGCAAAAGTCATGGGCAATGAAAAGTGTAGGTCTCCCTTCATCCAGGTTGATATGTGGGAGAGTATTCAACATTTGGTGTCAAAATGGGACGATCAAAAGCAAATGCTTAAAAGGTGAAATTTATAGACACAGCTCAGAATAAATATTTTATCAAGACTTGTTATTCTATGTTTTAAAGTGGTCATTTTCTGTCTCTTGGCTGTATACTTCCTTTCTAAATTCTGTATCCAAAGAATATGAACTCAGTGAAGAACTGGACTTTGCTTATTATTTCCACAATTTCTTAATTTATGGTACTGGGGATTGAACCCCAGGCTTTCACACTGACCACATTCACAACCATCCCTGCCCTTTATTACAAAGTCTCCCTAAGTTATTAAATAGGTCTGGCTGTTATCAAACTTTTAATTTTTCTTGTCCTACACATCCCCCTTTTTCGTTATATAATATATAACATATATTGTATAATAATCCCTTCTATGTTAACATTTGCTAGTGAATGAAATTTTTCTACATTTATTGAAACCTCAAAATTTACATTTCCTTCCCAGTTAGTAATGAGAGAAAATTGCACTAACTGGACTACAGCACAAACTAGATCATTGGAAGTAAAATTCCTGGGATTCCTCACATCCTTCTTCCCATTAAAGAAGACAGAAATTGTAGGTGGTGATTAAGTGATTAAGAAGTGATTAAGACCCTGGAGAGTGTTTGTGTACTTATTCGCAGTAATGCTTGGAATAAGGTATTTCAAGCTTTAAAAGAAAACAACCCCAACCTAGGCTGATATACCCTGCAAAATTATCTTTCAAAATTTTTGAGATATAAGATACTTCAGTGACAAAGAACACCTGAGAAACTTCATGAATACCAAACCACCACTCCAAACAATTTTTTAAAATATCCTGGGAAAAGACAATAAAGGTCACAGCACCATAAGGCCCAACAGAGCAAATCCAACAGGTAAAAATTTAAAGAGAGGAGAAAAATAAAGGAGAATCAACAACAGCAAAATAACATGACAATGATGTCAATATATGTAAGTTATAACCATCAATGTCAGTGGCCTCAATTTACCAATCAAAAGAAATAGAGTGGCAGAATTGATTAAGAAGAAAAATCTAACAATATGCTGTCTATAAGAAACACACCTACTTAAAAAAGAAACTCATAGACTAAAAGTAAAAGGATGGAAAATAATTCATTATGTGATAGGAACCTGGAAAAAAGCAAGGGTGACAATCTTATGGGCAGACAAAGTAAATTTCAAGCCAAAACTAAGAGAGAAACGAAGGTCAATATATCCTTATAAAGGGAACAATCAAACAGGAAGAGTTGACAATCATAAATATATATGCACCAAAAATTAATGCTCCCAACTATACAAAATAAATATTATAGGACACTAAACACCAAATAAGCACTAATGCAATTGTACTGGGGGCATCAATATCCCATTGTCACAATAGACAGATCATTTGGATTAAAAATCCACAATGAAATGCTGAACTGAACCAAGCTTTTGAACAAATGAACTTCATAGACATCTACAAAGTATTCCACACCACAAAGTCAGAATATATGCTCTTTTCAGCTGCACATGGGTCATTTTCCAAAATAGACCACATACTTGCTCATAGAACATGTTAAAGTAAATACAAAGAAATTGAAGTTATCCCCTGTATATTATAAGACCATAGTGCAATTCAATGGGAGATCAATAGCACAAGAAATCATAAGAAATTCACAAACACATGGGAACTGAATAATACTCTCCTGAACAAACAATGGGTCACAGAGGAAATTAAAGAAAAAATTAGATCATTTTTACAGTTTAGTAACAATGCCAGTACAACATATAGGAATCTATGGGATAAATGAGAGCAGTTTTAAATGGGAAATTCATAGAAGTGAATGCCCACACTAGCAAAACAGAGCAAGCTCAAATAAACAACCTAATTGTGAATCTTAAGCTCCTAGAAAAAGAACAGCAAGAGAAACCCAAAGTTCAGACAAGGGAGGAAATTATAAAGATCACAGCAAAATCAATGCAATGGAAACTAAGAGAATGATACAAAAAATCAATGAATCAAAGAGTTGGTTTTTTGAAAGAATAAATAAAATCAATAAACCCTTAGCCAACCTGGTGAAAAAAAAGGAAAGCAAAGGCTCACATCCATGCAATTAGGAATGAAAAAGGTGAAGTCACAACAGATCAAGCAGAAATCCAGAGGATCATCAATACCTACTTTGGGAAACTATGATCTAAAAAAATGGAAAACACAGGAGAAATGGACAGATTTCTTGATACTTACAAATTACCAAAGTTGAACACATAGGATAAAAACATTCTAAACATCCCAATCACAATCAGTGAAATTGAAAATATAATTAAAAGTTTACCAGCAAAGAAAAGCTCAGGTCCTGATAGATTCACTGCAGACTTTTACAAGACATTTAGAGAAGAATTACTGCCACTACTATTGAAACTTTTGAATAGTTTCTCTGGTGTGAAAGATGAAAAGTGTATATAATGATCCAAATGTATAATAGATATTGTGCAATAGGAGGACAGGTCTAAAAGAGTAGAGGAAGTGGGAGGAGTAGGGTAAAAGTAAAAAGGGAAAAGAAACAAGTATGTGAAAAGAAAAAACATGGAAACAATGTCTTTGTAAGCAGGGAAGAATGGAGGGTCTGAAGGGAAGACAGGAGAATGGGAAAAATAAGAACAAAAATAAGTCATGAAAAGGTACAAGATCCCAATAATGAATGTAACTGTATTGTATAACTAAAATGTACCAATAAACTTAATAAAGATTTTTTAAAACCCACCAACCAAACAAAAGAACAAAATACTACAAGTAGTTAGGGAAAAGAAACAAATCACATACAAAGTAGAGCCCATCAGAATCACAGCAGACTTTTCATCGCAAACCCTCAAGTTAAGAGGAGCATGGAGTGATGTATTTTAAGCCCTAGAAGAAAACAACCTCCAATCCAGATTTTACGTACCCTGCAAAACTACCTTCCATAATGGATAGAGAATAAGATAATTCCATGACAAAGAGCACTGTAGGAACATCTTAAATACCAAACCAGCAGTGCAAACATTCTAAACAATAAACTAGGAAAAGACAATGAGAGTCACAACTCCATGAAATCCAACAAAATTAGTCCGTCAGGCAAGGCAAGAAATTAAATGCCAAGAAGAGGAGAAATCCAACAACAGGAAAACATCATGACAAGGATAAGTCAATACATATCAGTTATACCCATCAATGTTAATGGTCTCAATATACCAAATGAAAGAAATAGACTGGCAGAATAAGTCAAGAAGCAAGATCCAACAATATGCTGCATACAAGGAATGCACTTAATTCAAAAACAAACTCATTGATTGGATGTGAAAGGTTGGAAAGCAATACTCCATGTGACAGAAACCCCCAAAAAAGCAAAAGGAGCAATCCTCTTTTCAGATCAATGGATTTCAAAACAACACTAATTAAGAGAGGTAAAGAAGGCCACTACATCCTTCTAAAGGGAACAATCCATGGTAAAAGATAGCAATCATAAATATATATGCACAAATATTAGTATACACCACTATATAAAACAAATACTGACAAACATGAAAAGTCAAATAAGCATTAATACAGTAATAGTGGAAAACTCAATACCTCACTATCACAAATAGATCAAGTAGACAAAAAAATAAACAATGAAATACTAAATTCAATCAAACTCTTAAAGAAAAGATTTAACAGATCTTTACATAGTATTCCATCCCACAAAAATCAGAATAAACATTCTTTTCAGCTGCACATGGGTCATTCTCCAAAATAGACCACATATCTGTTCATAGAACACAATTTAACTAAATGCAAAGGAAGTGAAGTTATCTCCTATATATAAAATCAGACCAGTGTGATTAAGTTGGAGATCAGTGGCAAAAGAAACTCCAAGAATTTCATAAACACATGCAAATTGAACAACACACTTTTGAACAACAAATGCAGCACAAAGGAAATTAAAGAAGAAATCAGACAGTTTCTACAGTTAAATGACAAAACGGGGGCAGGGGATTTAGTTCAGTGGTGTGACCACCTGCCTTGCAACCACAAGATCCCAAGTTCGATCCTGGGACCAAACATAGGGGTGCGGGGGAGACAGAGAAAGCAAAGGCAACATATAGGAATCTGTGGGACACAATGAAAGCAGTCTTATGAGGGAAATTCATATCAATGAATACTCATATCAGGAAAACACTGTATTGGTGCAACCTCTGTGGAAATCAATATGGAGATACCTTAAATAACTAGGATTAGAAGTCCCATTTGACACAGCTATTCCCCTCTCGGTGTCTTCCGAAAAGAACTAAAAGAATCATACCACAGTGATATATGCTCACCCATGTTTATGGTGGCACAGTTTGTAATAGCTAAAGCTTGGAAACAGCCTAATTGTCCATCAACTGGAGACTGGATAAAGAAGATGTGGGGTTTTTATAAAATGGAGTACACTCAGCCATAAAGAATGAGAAACTAGAGACATTTATAGCTAAGTGGATGCACATTGAGAACATACTCTTAAGTGAATTAATAGGACACACATGTGTAAATACCAGTTTCTCTGATGTGATAAACTAAAAATGTAAATAAAAATCAAAATGTATAATTGATATCATGTATTAGGAAAAAGTTCTAAGGGTTCTGCGGAGTGGTAGGGGTAGGAGAAAGGTACAAAGGGAAAAGAAAAAAATGAGAGAAAAGGAAAAATAAGGAAACAAAGTCTTTGTAAATAGGGGAGAGTGGAGGGGGTGAAGGAAAGCCAGGGGAATGGGGGAAAAGTAAGAACCAAGATACATCACGTAAAGGTACAAAATCTCAGTGATGAATGTAACTATTGTGTACCTAAAGTGTACCAATTAAAAAATAAAACAAAAGAGGAAAACACAGTGAGCTCAAATAAACAATGATGAACCTCAAGCTTCTAGAAAAAGAAGGGCAGGAAAAACCCAAAGCTCATACAAGGGAGGAAATTCTAAAGATCAGAGAAGAAATAAATGCAATGGAGACTAAGAGAATGATACAAAAAAATCACTGAAGCAACAAGTTGGTTCTGCAAAAGAATACACAAAATTGACAAACTCTTAGCCAACTTTATCAAAAAAAGGAAAGAAAAGACCCAAATCCATGTAATTAGGAATAATGAAGGTGAAATTACAATGAACCCAGCAGAAATTCAGAGGATCACTAATACCTACTTTGAGAATCTATATATCAATGAAAATGGAAAACAAAGAAAAAATTCACAGATTTCTAGATACATATGAATTACCAAAGTTAAACAAAGACTTTAAAACTCTAAACATGCCATTATTGATCAATGAAATTGAAAATGTAAAAACCTTACCAACTAAGAAAGGCATGAGTTCTGATATTTTCACTGCTCAATTCTACAAGACATTTAGAGAAGAACAATTGCCACTACTGTTTAAGGTCCTCAGTGAAACTGAAAGGGAAGCAATACTCCCAAATTCATTCCTGAAAGCAAGCATCACCTTGATCTCCAAAGCAGAGTAAGACCTGACTGAAAAAGAGAATGATAAGCCAACCTCACTGGTGGACATAGACGAAAAAATCCTCAACAAGACACTGGAAAATAGAATGCAGAAGGTCATCAAGAACATGATACACCCGGCAAGTGGGATTCATCCCAGTGATGCACGGATGATTCAACATATGAAAATCAATAAAAGTACTGCACTACGTTAATACAGCCAAGGACAAAAACCATATAATCATCTCAATAGATGGAAAAAATTCATTTGACAAAATCCAACACACATTCATGATAATAACCTTAAAAATATTGGAAAAGATAGTCTCTACCTCAATCTGATGAATGCCATCTATGAAAAACCAACAGCAAAAAAATATACTAGATGGTCAAAAACTGAAATCTTTCACACTAAAACCAGGTCCAACACAAGAATGTCCACTACCACCACTCTGTTCAATATAATTTTGGGAACATTAGCCATAACAATTAGACACGAAAAAGAAATAAAAGGAACAAAGATAGGAAATGAAGAAGTCAAAATTGTCATTTTTTGCGGATGTCATGATACTGTATATAGAGGACCCCAGAAATTCCACCAAAAGTCTTCTAAACTTAATAACCAAATTTGGTAGAGTAGCTGGATACAAGGTCAACAAAAATCAAGACCTTCCCTGTACATGAACAATAGACTCACTGAGAGAGAAATGACACAAACAATTCACAATAACATCCAAAAATTGAAATACATCAGAAACAACCTAATGAAAGAAATCAAAGTCCTCTATGCTAAAAACTATAGCACTCTGAAAAAAAAAAAGACATAGAAAAAGATACCAGAAAATAGAAAGACATCCATTGCTCCTGAGTAGAAAAAACCAACATAGTGAAAATGGCCATACTTCTAAAACTGCTATACAGATTCAATGAAATCCCGAATGAAATTCCAGCCTCAAACTTCACGGACCTTGAGAAAATAACCCAGAAATTCATTTGGAACAAGAAGAGACCTAGAATAGCAAAAGCAAGTCTGGACAATAAAGACAAGGTAGGAGTATCACAGCCCCCAACTTGAAACTATATGATAAAGCTACTGCAATGAAAACAGCATGGTACTGGCAAAGAAACAGACCTGAGGAACAGTAGAATAGATTAGAAAATGCAGAAACAACTCCAGACACATGCAGCCAACTCATCTTTGACAAAGGAGCCAAACACCCTCACTGGAGGAAAGATAGCCTCTTTAATAATAATTGACGATGTGAAATAGGGAAAAAAGGGGCTAAAGGTGTAGGGGAAGTGGAAAGGGTAGGGGAAAGGAAATAAGGGAAAAGAAAAAAATCTGAGAAAATGAAAAAATGGAAATAAAGTTTTTGTAAATAGGGAAGGGGGGAGGGGGTGAAGGAAGGGCCAGGGTATGGGGGGGAAATGAGAACCAAGACCTGTCATGTAAAGGTACAAGATCCCAATGATGAATGTAACTGTACTGTATACTTTAAAAGTACCAATAAACTCAATGAAAAAAAATATGGTGCTGGAAAAACTGGGTTTTTCTTTTCAAAGATTAAAACTAGAGCTATATCTCTCACCATGCACTAAACTAAAATCAAAATGGATTAAAGATCTAAATATTAAAACAGAAAAAATAAACTGGCTGGAAGACAGGTTAGATAGAACTCTTGAAGATATTGGTGTAGGAAAAGATTTTATGAACAAAACCACTCAGTTGCTGGTGTACCAGCACAAACAATCATCAAATGGGATCTCTTCTTATTATAAAGCTTCTGCATAGCAAGAGAAATCGCCAATAATTTGAAGACATAGCCCACAGTGTGGGGAGAAGTTTTCACCAACTGTTCATCAGACAAAGGTCTGCTCTCTAGAATATATAAAGAACTCTAAACAATCAGACCTCTCCAATTTAAAGACCCAATCCAAAGATGGGCATCTGAAATGAACATACATTTATTGGACCAAGTAGTAGAAATGGCAAATAAAGTTATGAAAAATTGTCCACCATCACTGGTCATTTGAGAGATGCAAATGAAAACAACTCTGTGAGTCCACCTCACCCCAAAAAGAATGGCTGCTATCATGAAATCAACCAATAACAAATGCTGATGGGGCTGTAGGGAAAGAGGAACACTGCTCCATTGCTGGTGGGATTGTAGACTGGGGCAACCATTGTAGAAATAAGTATGGAGATAACTCAAAGACCTAGGATTGGAAGTTGTATGTGACCCAGCTATTTACTTGTTGGGTATATTCCTAAAAAAAGAATTAAAAGAATCATACCACAGCAATACATGCACACCCATGTTCATAGCAGCATAGTTTGTAATAGCTGAAACTTAGAAACAGCTCAATTGCCCATCAACTGGATACTGGATAAAGAAAAATATTTTTTAAATGGAGTATTACTCAGCCATAAAGAATGAGAAATTAGAGATAGTTATAGCTAAATGGATGTACATTGAGGCCATACTCTTAAGTGAAATAAATAGGACACACACATGTAAATACCAAATCATTTCTCTGGTGTAAGAAACTGCAAGTTTAAATAAGGACTAAAAGGTATAATAGATAATGTAAAATAGGAATAAAAGGTGCAAACAGGAAGAGGAACTGGGATGGGAAGAGGAAAAGAAAGAGGGAATGGAATTAATATAAGAAAATGGAAAAAAATCCTTTTAAATGGGGAGGGGTGGAGGGGTTTATGGGAGAGCTGGGGAATGGGAAAAAATATAAGAACCAAGATGGATTACATAAAGGTATAAATTTCCAATGGTAAATGTCATTATATTGTATACCTAAAATATACTAATAATATTAATTTTTTAATGAAGAAAAGATTCTTTTTAGTAAGGACTGAAGAAATTTTGACTCCAAATATCTATCCTTGTGATACTTCAGTAAAAAAGCTAAGAATACTGGGTCCATAGGTAGAAGAACCAGGATTAAATTAAACAAGGAATTTGTGGATCCCTAGAAAGCTGAACAACTCCTTTGTGCCTGTGCTCCTGAAACTCTGGTATACAGCACCATGTCACAGTATACCAGTGAAAACACTGGATTCAGCTAAGCAGAGAAGAGCCTCATCTTTGTCCTGTGCTATAGATGTATTGCTATAAAGTGAGTGTACATTTATTTATTTGCAGATGTTCCTATACAGAGTAAATTTTAATCAATAAAGGTTGATTTTACTTGATAAGAAATTAGAATTAACTATCTTGTCCTTTAAGCCACTAAACTGAAAAAGAAAAACAGTTAACAATTCTATGGCAGTGAGGGAAGCCCACTGTGTAATCATGGTTTGTGGATTGAATTCTCAGGCCTCTATAGCTGTTCCATCTTCTATTTTCAGAGAGCAGACACCTGAATTCCTGGAACTTCCCATTCATTCATACAGTGGACAATGCACAGACCATACCTGAACAGACGACCCCTGCATCATACTCATGGTTGCAGTAGTTCCTACCCCAACCCAGGGAAGGGCACTTCCACACATGGGTCTCCTCTCCTGTGCATCTCATGGCACTCAGCCAGACGGGCCCTGATCCAGGCCCAAAGTGGGAACTGTATGTAACATGAAGTGCTTCTCCACAGTCCAGCTGTCTGCACACCACTTGGCCATCGCTCTTGTCCCAGTAAGTATGACAAATGGTGCCCCAGGATTCCTGGTGCAGAATCTCCACTCTTCCTTCACAGCGATGGCTCCCATCCACCAGCCGGAGCTGAGGGCTTTCTGAGGAGATAAACAGATGTCAATTTTGCATTTATAAAGGGAATTGAGTTGGTTTTCTGTTCCCTTGGGGAACACTCAGACAAGCACTGGATACAATGCACATTCGGACTGCACAGCCTACTCAGTCAGATAAGGAGTCATTGCATAAGGGGAGTGGATGGTCTGGATTCCCACAAAATTGAATATGTTCAGAAAGTGTTAGTGTGATTGTAAAATACAAAATGGAACTTAATTGAAAACACTCTACAAAATATTTCCAAGCAGGTTCCCGACCCAGCCGCCATCGCTCAAGCACTAGGAGGTAGCCCGGTCTGATCCACCATGCGAAGGAGAGCCACGCCTGTTCCCGATCCAGCCTCCATCACTCAAGTGCTGGGAAGGTAGCCATGCAGGTGCCCCTGAACCCCCATAAGTCCCCCACCCCTGCACTCTCAGACCTCCTGACTGTGTCAATCTTTGGACCCACTCTGCAGAGGAAGAGGTGGTCATCAAGGGTATTTTTCTGAGTTCCCAATTTTGAACATCTTTAAATAAAGGGCATGGGAAACCTGTAATAGAACGTTGTAGACTTCAACCATTCAGAAGGTTGGGGAACTCAATTTGGGCCTTGCAGCCTGAGGTCAGTCAGCATCATGGGGTTCAGCCATCAGCTAACTGAGACCAGGGGACTTACATCCTCACTCTTTCTGAGCCATTAAATGGTAAATACACTATATTGAAATTTTGTTCACTGCAGACATGTTCTGGACTGCTTCTTGGTTTCAATTTAATTCAAATGATTTAAGGGTGATAGACTAGTGACTACCACAGGTGGTCAGTGTCCAAGTTGTGCTTGATCTTAATGTGCTGCTGATTGTATCAATTGGGATAAAGGATTGTGGTTGATTTGATGAGCTGTTTTCTCTAATGTTACGAAGATGAGAATGTCTAGAGACCCAGAAGCTAGGGCGCAACTATATCAGGAAAATTTGGGTGATAACCCAGAGATTAAACAAAGGACACTCCAACAAAAAAAATAAAAATGAGAAAACACTTAAGCAAGACACAAGGACAGACTTCCAGTTCACCAATGGCAAACAGTAGGGCAAATGAGGATGAAAAGGCTGATAGTGAACCATCAGGACATCCTGAACTCAAAGCACAGGAAGTAACAAAACAGATCAATCAGGCTCTAGAAATATTCAAAACAGAAATAATTTCCCAGATAACCATAGAGATAGTGAGAAAAATGGAAGTCGTGATTCGAGACTCTAGAGCAGAAACTGACAAAAAAAAAATAGATGAGCTCGGGACCATGATAGAAGCCATGAAGGCTCAGCATAAGAAAGAAATGGAAACACTGAATGCCCAACATAGGAAAGAAATGGAATCCATAAAACA